TCAAGTATAGATGAAGTAATAATTGAGGAAACAAAACATGGAAATTTTCTATTAGAATCTGCTGGTGATACACCAGTTCTTCATGGTAAGGGGAATTAATTAATGCTTTTAATTCTTCTCAGTAATATTTTAAACAGATAGTTCGTTGGATGTGTGCCATTTTTCCAACGATAAATTTGCACGTTTCAACGACAATTATACAAATGAAGAATTAGAATTGTTTATGCTAAAAGAAGAAAACTCCTACACGAAAGACATGAACTGTAAAAAAACTAAATATTTTTTATGAAAAATTGTTGATTAAGACGAATCAAATGTAAAATATAAGGATATCCATGTCGAAGAACCGTATGATGAAGATATAGTTCGATATTTAAAAAGTTTGTAATTTTTCAAATATTCTGAACGTTTATTTGACTAGCTGGAGTTACTTTATATTTTATTTTATTCAAATGGATTCACGCACTTGTTTAGAAGGATTAATCAATATTTCTGAACAATTGAAGATATTTAGTATAGCTGAATTATTTTATGTATTATAAGAACATCGACGATTGTCATTATTTGATATAAACCGACCCAGTAAAAAATATTGATAAAAAAAACGGTAAAAAAAGCGTTCATAAAAATATGGAAACTTGCCTCTTTGTTAAAAAAAGCGTTCTATAATTTAGTGAACGCGTTCATAAACGGAGAAAAAAATTCTATGTTCAAAGAAACGCATTCTTTACCGTTCCCAGTTATTGTAGAATGCTTCCATAAATGGAAAAAAAAATTCTGGGTTTAAAGGAATGAATTCTTTGTTGTTCCATGTACTTGTAGAATGCCTTTTTTCGATTTAAAAATAGTCCTACTACCGATCAGAAAGCGTTCTCACCCGTTTCGAGAATAGCAGGATGGAATCGCGTTCGTTCGCCTTCTCATGCGGAACGCCTAAGAATGGATTCTTCGTATTGTTGAACGCCTAAAAATGGATTCTTTAAACTGCTAAACGCATTCCGTACAATCTAAAACAGTTCTATAAAAACAAGAACGTATTCTCTGTCGTTCGTTGAATTGTGGGACGCTTTCAGCTGAATTTAACGTCAATTTAGATGCTAAATTGATAATGCTGGAGCACTACAGGTCGAAACTATCACCAAAAATGATGGAACCTTGACGAACTGTACTTGTCAGCTGAAAATCATAATTTTCAAAGAATATTTTTTTAATAACGGTCTGAGCTATACAGAATCGGAGAGCACCACCGGATAGAGCTCGCAAATTTGCATAGGAGTAGATCTCTTCACCAAGCAAGTAGTAACGTCACTCATTCTTATTCGAGGGCTTTTATAGAGAACATGAAATCAGATGATAATGGCCAAGAACATGTTTCAAAAAATGTATTTAGCTTTTTTAAGAAAAAAAAAAACGTTCCAAAAAAACTGGAACCGTTGAAAACGCATTCCGAAGAGAGTGAAATGCGTTCTGGACCGTTTCATTTTGGATTGCGTTCTACTTTTCTTGGAACGTTTTTTTTTCTTAAAAAAAGGACATTTAACATTTTGGAACGCGTTTTATACCATTTTTTCCGATAAAAATTTTTCACTGGGCAGCAATACGACAAAAAAATCCAAAATTTGTTGAAATTGATCTTATAGAATGTCAAAAAAACAAATGATGATGATGATGACAATGATGAGAATAAAGACAAAGATGATGATTAACTATGTTTAGATTCTTTTTTTATACAACTATTGAATAATACGTAATAAAACTCACCTGGAGTGAAATTATTTTCAGTGTCATTGAGAAATCATATGACAACGGATTGTTCAAGATATTTGACTATAGAATGCATATGAAAAAACATACTTATTGTCTCATTTCGATTCCTAATTAGTTCTACCCGAACTTTCAAAAACATATCAAATTATATGAGGATCATATGAGTTCGTCCTGAGATATAAAAGTTGGTTCAATTGATTTTAGAAGACGGAATAGGATAAGATCCAATGAATATAACAAATTCTATTCTACATATACACTCTAGAGTTAAAATCTGAATGTTGTAGCTTAACCGTTTCTCAACAAATAAGTGCATTTCTGTGATACCTCTGTTATCATGTGTCTTATGAACCGTTTGATCTATCACAAATTCTTGCTGTTTTATTTGATTGCAAGAAGATATTGAGATGCTAATTGTTACAAATGGTTACATATATTCTTGTGTTACTATGTGTAAATTCTTTCAGTCCTCACTCTTTACAATCTAAGCAGCATATGAGGTTTGCATTTTTTAACTCTTATGGACCAAGAGAGAATTTTTCAAAAATTATCCATTATAATTACTAGTTTTATTAAGTATAAGTTTATTATGATATTTCCCATCATCAGCAACATAATATTTTATGAGGAGATGGTTATTTAGTCACGATATAATCGAAACTAGTTATTAGTTAAATGTATGATTAGTTTTAAAGTAAGGCAGAGAGATTTGCAAAAGACAACGTTGAAATTAATCGTTAATGTATACGATACGTTTTTAGAGACTCACAAAAATAATTTTTCAAATAGCAAAATACACTTTCTTACACTTTCAAGTTTGCTCTACATAATCATTTCTTTCAAATGAAACAGTGTATGAAGTGTCGCTTTACGTTAACAAGCTGAATTAAAAATTCGTTGCCCGAACACCTTTTTATCAAAAATTTTGAAAACTTCTGTTGCTCATGTCCCTTGATTACTGTTTACTATGATAGGCAGATCAGGATCAAACCAACGGATGCTCGTACCAATCCAATCCATTCGACATCTCTGATTTATAATAATGAAAATCTTATAGATTTTCACTTTTCATATTTCTAAATAAGCGCTTTTTAAATAAAATCCTTTCCATATGCGTCAAAGTTCTTTTTCCCGTAAATAACATATCAACCTGTCCAAGCGTGACCGAATCCCTTTTTTCCGTGTACATTCTGTATTATCAGTGAGTTAGAAACATATGAGACTGAAACTTTCACATGGCACGTAGTCCTAGTTGCTCTACATGTGCCATAAGTTATATCAAGATTGCTGTTCTTATTCATGCTTAACGAGAACAATTATATACTGTGACGGAATTAGGAAAAAAGGACCGTCATTTTCACTGAATCCATGAAAATTTCAAAATTCCACACAACGATACGGCTTATGGAAAAACAGTCTGTGGCAAAAGTGTAGCTTAGATGACAAACTATCTGAAGAAAAAAGGATGTTTTAAAAATTCTGAAATTTAATCTCATACCGTTGAAAATGCATCGTGACGGAATTACGTTTTCTGATTTCTGGTTCTCACTTATTAAAAAGCTATTGACATGAGTTTGATAATGATATATGCATGTGAAAACGTTTTAGGCCTACACAGAAAATTCAGTTCATATTGTTCACACCGTTATAGTGCTAGATCCATTTTTCTGAAAAAACCCGCTCATAGAGGTGGACCGTTACGTGGACAAGTCGATATAGAACAAGTTGTTTCTTTTTTATTTTATTTTACACATCTTTATTTGACAATAATTCAGCAATTCTAATCAGTTTTATTCAAATTGTATAAATTTTTGTATGAGGAAAATAGTCTTTGAGTTGTGTTGAAATCGATATATCATGAGGTACATATATAGAAAATAGTTTTCCACAATTGATTCGTGTTGCATCTCTCGTAAAACTGTGCGTTATTCTATCCAACGTTGAAAATAGAACTTGAAGGTTGACCGTTCTTATTATAGATGTTTTGATATCCAATAGAAATTGCTCGACATAATCATCATGAGCCGAAAACAACTCGAGTACACTCAGATAAGGATATTGAATAGGTGATAAATGTTGATTATCATATTTTGATTGTTCATAAGATTTGTTCTTCTGTGGTTTCCTATTGTATATAGTTAATTGTTCCATAAATGGGAAAGATTTAGCAATTTTCAAAAAAAATTCATGTTCAAAAGGACGGTCGTCATATAATGAAACTTCACGAACATATTTAAATAATCCATCTGGAAAATTATTTGTAATATATTCATATGTCTTTGCTCTATATGGATATGAATAAATATGACATTGACCATGTTTGAAATCTGGAAAATAATCGACACATGAAATAATTTTATTATTTTTAAAATCATTGAATGAATGTTGACAATCTTCATTTGATAATAAATAAATTTGATCGTTTATATATAGACATGATCGTATGTTAAATAGAAATTTATTTAATTGAAACAAATGATTAATGATATTGTATTTCAAATTATAGCCATCAACAAATCTTTTCTCACAATGCACGACAAGATGTAAATCGAGTTCTTCTAAATTGACCATTCGGTGTAGAAGTGGCACAATCAATTCATTATATTGAAATGTAGGTCGGTCAGAATAGAGAGAAAACGCTTTTAGCTTCGGTAATTCTTTCTAAAAAAATAAATCAATTTATTTCAAAGTAGTAGATATTAAATAGATCGATTTACTTTATTATTAATTACTATCTCTGGAGTAGATATTTGATAAATATCAAGAAAAACCTTTTCAAGTGAATCGAAACGACCATCAAGTAAATAAAGACAATCTGTAAATTTGTCCAGTTTGATATGTAATTCTAACAGAATTGAAGAGGAAATAGTTTTAGACATTTCAAATAATGATTGATACCAAAAAGATGATCTATAATCCAAATATTTTAACTTGGAGAATAAAGTTAAAATGTGGGCAAATATATTTGAATTGCTTGTGTCATTCATACTTAAACTTTCACATTGAACAACATCAATAACAAGTGATGAAATTTTATCTTGAAATATGTGAGTTAAAGGAGTTTCGTCTAAATATAAATAAAAAATTAATGATGAGATATTTGAAATATTTGGATGATATTATCACATCTATTCTAGTCTTTCTCTCTTCTTATAAAGTAAATATTAGTTTTCTCTAACTGAACAAATTGATTTACAATGAGATTTTTCTCTTTTCTGTTCATCTAGAAAAAAAATGTCATATGGTACAATTTTGAGAAGTAGAGTAGGATGGGGTAAAATGGCACAAGAAATTGAAGTTTTTTAGCGTATTGCTCATAACTTTTTTATTTCGAACGATAGAAAAAAACTTTTGGAACAAAAAATATAGAAAAAACATTTCTCTATTCAACGGTGCATTTCGTTTTTGGAGATCTTATTTCATAAGCTTTCCACAGTCGTTTTAATCGGACCTACTAGAGGCTGTGCCAAATTACNAAACGAAATGCACCGTTGAATAGAGAAATGTTTTTTCTATATTTTTTGTTCCAAAAGTTTTTTTCTATCGTTCGAAATAAAAAAGTTATGAGCAATACGCTAAAAAACTTCAATTTCTTGTGCCATTTTACCCCATACTACTCTATCTTTTTAAAAATAATTGTATTGATTTATCTATATTTTTCAAATATTAATGATTGAAAGAAAAAAAATCAAAAAACCACTCACCAGTAAAAATACGTAATGCAATGTTCTTCTCGATATTATGTAAACCAAGTTCCGATAAGTTAGGATAACTTGTACAAAGAAGAACATCTTCCATAGACGAACATTCAACATCTAACCATTTGATGTTATGATGAATCGAAGGTAAAATTTGTGAACAAAATCGATCAAGTATTTGGTCATCTAATCGATCAAATGAACCATTAGAAGAACATCTTATCATTGTTAAATGATTGGTAAAAATTGAATCATGTACAAGTTTTATTAAATCTTTTATTTAAATCGATGAATAAGTAGAGCACTTCAATATTGTCCAAGTTTTTCAAAATGAGAAGAAGAACCTCATCAGGTAAATCAATTAAAGTCAACAAAGAACCTTCCATATTTATCTTCATCTGTGTATTTTTTTCGCTTATATAGACGTATACAATTTAACCGATTTCGTCAATGAAAACAACGACAAATTTTTTTCTATAATCGAAATTGACGGTAAATAGACGGAAAAGAATGACATCACTTCTCTCTCTCTTTCTTGTATTTCTTTTACCGATGAACATTCATGTTCTCTATCAGAGTCGAAAATAAAAGGGATTATACTGCCTTGAATAGATATCGAAAGTCATTTTTGATCATGACTGCCATCACAAATATCATCAATTCGTTCCTGATATTTATTCTTAAATTTGTCTTTTATTAGACAAATAATAATTTTATTTCTTCTTATGAGATAATAATGAACAACACAATATTAGTTTTCATTGGTTGTTCCACATTCGACAATCATGATATCTGTTTTTGGTCGACCAGTGACACTTCCTAAAATAATAAACAGCTTATTACTAAAATAATATTAGTCAAACTCAAACATACCCTGATTCATGATGGCATGCATGACGTCCATGCCACTTGAAATTTCTCCGAGAACAACCTTCAATAAAAAAATAAAAGTAATTAAAAACGAAACATTCTATTTCTTTACATATGTATCATCGAAGAATGGAAGTCCAATATAAGTTATGAAAAATTGAGAATTATTGGTATTCGGACCAAAATTAATCATTGATAAAGTACCGGGTTTGGAATGTTTGTTGTTAAAATTTTCATCAGCAAATGTAATCCCATAAATACTAAATAAAAATTCATAAATTATATGTATATATTTTCAATGGTTAGTTTACCATTCACCACTCGAACCATCGCTATTTATAAAAATAAAAGAATATTTTTGAAATAAAATTTTATTTTGTAATTCACTTACAAATTCGTTATATCACCTCCTATTAAATTAAATAATAAAAGTAATAATAACGAAAAATATTAATAAAGTCATTACCTCGAATTAAATTTGGGGAAAGACATGAGTTAATTTACTACCAACATAACATAAATGCTTGTCACCAACACACAAACTTCGAAAATTTTCTGAAAATAAAAAATAAATATTTTTTAAGCAAGAAAATAACTTTTTCGTAACATACCTGTTGTTTGTGGTACATTATTGTAAAGCTGTAAAAAAATTCATAAATATTTATTTTTAAAAAGATACTTCTTGGTTTTACCCTAAATACCATTCGACCAATAACTTTATGTTTGATTGAAAAATCAAAATAAACGCAGGTATGAGACGTGAAACTACTAAAAGAGGTATCTTTTATATAAATTTAAAAGTAATAGCTCGATACTTACTTAGATGAAAGTAATAAATCGTGCTTCATCAACATCGGTGGCAAAACCTCGCGCATTCTTTGAAACAATCCTTTGTCAAATTCATTTCTGTTAATCAGTTGTCTAGAAAAAGAAAACGTTTTAGATTATATAGATGTGGTAAGTTTATGATTACCCATTATTCACGTACTCGGAGATCATTATTTGATAGTGTTTAGTGCTCAATGCCTAAAACAGTTGGTTTGATAAATGCATAGGACCTTCTCAGTACTTACATGGAAACTGATAGTATACGATCCCATCCAAAAACGAAGATCAAAACGGAATGTTTGATTTTTTTTTCATATTCAGTAATAATAGTACCCTGTGAATCAATCTATAAAGTAAATTGTTATGAAAACAGGAATATAAAAAATAAAGATTAACACTACGGTTTCATTATTATATTTAAAACCATGTTTCATAAAAACAAGTTTTGATAAACATAAAAGTGAGTAATTGATATGCTGTTCAATTACAGATGCCATTGATTTATATCGATAGATAAATATATATGAATCTAAAACATAGATAATTAAAAACAAACAAGTTCATCTTACCAATAATAAATAAAAATCAAATGATAAATTTGTCTTTGTTTAGAAAAACAATATTTTTTAATAACATTTCTATTTTAATTTTAGATTTATTGATCTTAATATTTGCAGTAAATATTTCCAACTAGCAATAGTAGATAATTTATATCTTCATGAATATTGTTCAAACGGTTTTCTAAAATTAATCTTCCATAAAATTTACTACTACGTAGATGTGATGAAATCGAAGTTAAAATAAATTTTGAATAAAATTCAATTGAACAATCTCTATCAATCAATAAAAGGTAAACTAGATTATCATCTTGCTAAACATCATTCTAATGTTCTTTTATGCTGAAAATAAAATAATATTGAAATAATAAATCAAATGTGATAAATGAGTTTTTTTTTCAAATTCTGTTTTTACGAGAAAATAATTCAGTATTGAATAATAGAAATAAATATAAATAAACAGACCAACTACATTTTAATCAATTGAAACTTGAAGTAAATTTATGATGATCAATTTAATGAGACTTAAATATTTGATAATTAAATTGAAAAGAATGAGTTTGACCATTCACTCTTCAAAGAAAAAACAAAAGAAGTAAAATAAAATTCATATTGTAATTTCAATTGTTGTTACCAAATTGATTTTTATAATTGTAATTGGAAAACGAGTCAATAGTCCTGCATTAATTTGATTAATATGAACTTGACCTTCTTTTATATGTGATCGATAAATTCTTTATACTGAGCCTAATTAACGGGTGGCCTAAATTAATGATAAATGATAACCAAATTTTATTTTTATTTCTTGATCTAAAATCAATCTACCAAAAAAACAAACACCATTAAAAATTCATTTTTATTGTCTTATTACCTTCATAAATAATTAATTGATTGATTGTTTTCGATAAATATTTCCATTTAATTGTTAAACGTATATTATCAGAACTAGTTTGAATTTGATCAAATTTTCTTAAATAAATACTTTCATCCTTGACCAACTATTATCTCTAATTGAAATTTTTATATTAATGATGATTTAGATAATGAACAAATGTCATCTAAGCTTTGTGAATTTGTGTAAGATCAGAATCAACAGAAAATCCATTATGTAATTTTTGTACTATATTCATTAATCCATGACGAGTTAATGATAGACTAAATATTCAATTTCTTCTTATTTTAATGCATTTACCAAAAGTGCTAAATAGATATGTAACGAAGTAAAGGATTAGATTGAAAAAAAAAAAAAACTAACTGTATCAACGCAACCAACAGCATTGAATAATTGTCGTTGACAAAAATTAAATTGAGAAATACTATCAAACAATTTTCTATTGTTAATTTCTCTATTTAAGAATTGTTGCAATAGTTGTACCGGATATCCTAATACAAACTCCTAGCCATCCATCACTATATAGATCACGTGATGGCGAAGTGAATGGTCTTGTGCGACCTGTACAGTTCCTTAATGTTTGTTTATATGCTAAGTATATGTGCATGCTGTTTCTCTACGCATATATATATTGTTTCTTTTTTTTCTTTCCTCTTCTTTGTTTCTTGTGCAATATCTACCTATTTTCTATTCCGTACACATGTCGAACGTTTCTTTTCTTCATCATTAAAACCTCGAAATTCATATTTCATTTTTCGTTCTATCTTTTTCTTTCCTATTGAGTAGCTGGAAAAGAGAATATATGATCGACTTCGTTTGTCCCACTTCATGTTTAACCTAAATTCACGTAACAGAATATACGTAAATTATCTTTCCGCTGTTTTCTCTCTTTTTCTCGCTCTGTCTATGTATGTATATTTGGATGACTAGGAAAGAAATCTTTCTCTTCAAATAAATCGGTTAATCTCCACAAGAGATGAAAATTTATCTCGAACAAAGATATTACTATAGAAATAAGTCTTGGCACTAAAATTTTTCAAAAACAATTAATTCATTTACACCCATGAGAGAAAGATTAATAACAATAAAGATCAATGATATTTGTACAAAAAATTATTTTATAAGAGTTGTTATAGTTGTAAATAATTTGTATCAGATTTTTTTCTGAATTAAAAGCACATCCTCGAGTCCTCCAGTATCATTTCCATTGAATAATCACAGTATTATTTGTCGAGAGACAACAAGTATATATGTTAACGTAATGAGCAATATTTCTTTCGAATGCAAAAATTAAAATCGGCAAACAAAGATGCTCTTTCTGCGACATTTTACTGCTGCTATCGTCAATAATTTTGATGATAACTCATGTATAAATATACGTAATGCAATCAATTGTAGTACAGTTGAAAGTGAATGCAAAACCACTGACCAATTTGAAAACACTTAATTAGGGGAAAAACAAAAACAAAATAAAATTGAATGCATAGTTGTTGGAAACAAATAGTAATAGTTCAGACAATAGACAATATCCAGATTTATCAAAAAAGAGTAGATAAATGTATGTGAATAGGTCTATTATAATAGAGCAAGTGTAATATTTCAAAATGTTCCCGAACGAAATATCTCGCCAATTTTATCCTTAAAAAATGATGCTAATAAAAGTATCCTCCAATTTTAGCGAAGGTATGTACAGCCGAAATAATAGTTTTAATAACCAGATTGTGACATCTTTTCACGTTATAATAATAGATTCGAAAGACTTTTATAAAAAAAAGAAACTCATTCCAATATACGGTTTTTTTTCATAAGGACTTATCGAGCTTTTTTTCTTTCTGCACGATTTATTAAAATTTATATATTTCGTGCGGATTTATTATTGTGTATGAGTATTTCGGTGCATCCACACTATGGGTATGCGTGTATGTATTGAGTGGATTCTTTAAATAAACAATGGAATGCAACATTGTTCAAAACAATCACAATCTAAAATTGCTGAAAAATAAATTAAAGAGTTCTATGATCGGTTCAATCATAGCAAAATAAGTGTACAAGATTTATTACGCGAACTTTCTCTTTTTGTTACGAATGAAAAATAAAATAAAATTATTTTATCAACATTATTATCGACCATTCTTCAAGTTTTACTGGAAGAACATTTGTTAATGGAGAATATTTCTACTATGGACATTTACTTCCAAGGACATTTTTTGTAAGAACGAAATGTGTAACAATACTTGTAAAATATCCTGATTTATCATCATTAATTGTTGATAAATCACATAAATATTTTTCTAACGATATATAAACATCAATATCAATTACTACATTTGTTCATATCATTAAAATGAAAAACAATTATTTGAACAAGTGTTTTTCTTTGATAAGAATGCTTTTTAATAAATTGAATTTCTGTCTCATATCTCAAAATTTATAGTGCTAATAGCCCCAATGAAGACACAGTTGTTGTAAAAGTTTTGTCTGCGTCAACGTTCCATTGTGGAGATAGGATTGTAACACTAAAATTCGCAGTTTGTAAAGAACAAAATTTGGTAAAAATTGTAATTATCTTTCTTCATTACGTATATCTATAATACTTAACTGAGTACTAGAAAATATTTAGACGATCAAAATGTAGACCGTTCAATTTTCTGTTGAACTGTATCTGACACAGTTTGTTTCATATTATGAAATCTAAAACAAGAATATTTGTATTTTTTCGAAAAAAGCAAAGTGAAAAATGTCCATTCGAAATTAGTAAAATGACCATAATTCTAAAATAATTGATTTTATTTCAAACTGTCTTCTCTTTAGATGATAGCTCTTTTCTTTCTCTACAAAATTAGATAATTTGATCAATATCTTGATATGATCTTGAGATGCATATTCTTGTTTTACTGAGGAGTGGCCGAAACTATAGGACCACCCTTTATATAAATACGTTCTATCATCATCAAATTTGTAGATGTGAATATCCTCATAATCTGTCCTCCGAATAGTTGATTTAAATGACATATTTCTCCTCGTTCGCTTTTGGTTTTTTCGAATGCCATTAAGACATTCTCAAAACATATTACGCAATCACCAATCAGTGCTGAGAAACCTTATAAATATTTCTAACTATTTCATCCACACCTGTTAGACAATCCTCTTGCCAATTTCCAACTGCTACAGGCAATACGCAATTGTTTCGATCTGATAGAAACTCGAATGGTTTCGAGTTATTCAACTGATATGGAATGAATAATTCATCTTCACTATCGTAACAATACAATACTCATCAAGGTTGATCAAGTATGATTTGAAACAACGTATTATCTCATTTACCATAAACAAATTGAACACTTGACAACATGTCAATCCATTTATTATTTTTATTGAACTATTTTAGATAATTGTATTGGAAATTTCTGTCCACCAGACCCCACAAAGTCAGGTGCGACAATGTTCTTAAATTCGTCAATTGATTGATTAGTAATATAAGCAATCATCCGGTAGATGTTCTCATTCTTTATTCAAGCTACTTTCAAGATGTTCATTTACAAATAAATCGATCATGAAGTTGGTATCTAATTAAAATAATGCAAAACTACATAAGAAACGTCTTAACAATTACGTATCTCAATGAACAAATCGAAAACAAATATTTACCAATATTAGATCATCTTTTGTTCAATTCTCCTATTTTAAGAAGAAAAGTAGAGAATAGTATTTTTAAGATGAACTTTTTATACTACTTTGATAAGTATTACAAAGTTTTTATCCTGACAGACTCTTTGTAGTCATTTATTACCATTTCCTATTAGTCCTATAATTATCTAAAAATAGTGAAATAACAAATGTTAAAATTTATTTTCAAATGTTAAACACTTGTTTAGTAATATCGACTACTTAAATGAATGAAAATGGATCTGATGTAACAATATAAAATATTTCGAAACTTCTATGAAACTAACTATAGATAAAAAATCTTAATTTGAAATAATTTCTTCAACTAAATGATTTATTGGTTTCCCTAGGAGTATTTAATGATCGTTTATACTAATGTGCCATAATATTTCTCTCCTGAACAAGGATCTAATAGATAACTGTTTGGTATAATAAGAGTTTTCGTCGTCAAAGCTAATGTTGTTTCATCTGGTCCAGGAAATGCCACTTGCATAAATATACCTTCCCAATATCCAATTGGTAGCATAGGTGTTATCTAAGTTCGATGGCGATACTACCAGTTCTCAAAGCAAGTCTTGTCGTTGAGCTTCGAGTTGGTACTCTAATTCAAAAATAGAAAATTAATCTGTTTGATAAAATTCTCTTACCGATCGTTATTACTTCCACTTCCGATACGAAGAAAAGCAGTTTTCGAACGTCCAAGTATTTTCGGCACTGTAATAATCATATAATGCCACCAGATTGGTTGTGATGAAAATGAAGCTAAAACAAAATGAATTTCATCGACAAATATATCATTTAGATTTCTTTAATTTTACCATCAAACCATTTTTGTGATGTCATGTTAATGTCGCAGTTGGTTAGAGAATTTAGTTGAGATTGGAATTGATAGAAATATAAAAATAATATCTATATCTATGTTTTTATTTTATAGAGAAAAAAATAGAATTGGTAAATGTATAAGTAGTTATCTTAAAATGAAATAGATATGTTATAGTTTTTTATGAAAGACAAATTAAGAATATGAATGATTTAAAATTTATTATTGACTTAAAGAGAAGTTTATATTGAATATAAGGAAAAATTAATATGTTAGTTATTTATATTTGTTTGCTTATATAGTTATTTATTTGATCAACGGGACATATGGGACATTGAAATTTGTATTAGATAAAAAAATTAATTTTTTTTTCTCATAAGATAGATAGATATTTTTTTGAAAGCGGGACATGCGGGACATTGAATTTTCTTCCTTTCTGTATTTAGAAAAAGATTTTCGCTACCTATTTTTTTCTATTACGGGACATTGAGACATTGATTTAATGAAATCTTTCTCTTTCTCTTTCTCTTTTTAAAAATTAGCTTGTTGCAGTTTTTTATTTAAGTTGTAGGTTAGACTGCTTCCAAATATTTTAATGTATAGAAATATATGTTTGTATGCATAGAATAGATGTTTGCGACGCATAAATTTTATGAATGAATTATAAATTACCCCTCACCAAATTTTTAGAAAATAGAGGTTATGTAAAATATTTTTTTATTGACTCCCGAGCAGCGAGCTGATGAAAATGCCGACATAGATTGGAAAGAAAAATAGAGCAATTGAGTTTGAGGAACATCTTTTTTTAGTGCTACTTGAAATCATAATGAATTTTCAAGAGTTTAGACGGAATGATTTCGAGCAGGGTTGAAAAAAGGCAGGGAATGAAATTGGTTACTGAAATAAATATTTCCATAAAATTTGATAAGTTAAATATGAAATAACAAATGAAATAGCTTAATTAAAAAAGTTATCATAGCAATATCACTGAATCTTCGTTTCATAGGAACGAACCTCTACTAAGAAAATATAAAATAGAGAAATGATGGTGACACACAGATTTCATACATAAAAGTATTTTGAAATGCAAGCTTTTATGAATTGTTCATTTATTAATATCAACCAAATACAATCTTTATAAATATCATTTATGTATAACTTTACAAATACAACGAAAATGAAAATATTGTTTCGTAAAAAGAAAACAGAATGAATATCATAATACTCTTACAAAAATCCATTTATAATATTCTAGTAATATTCAATTCGAATCACATAGATTTATTGATGAAGAAAACGATTTTATTTTTATTTTCTGTCTCTTTTTTTATTTTCAAATCTTTGTTTATGTTTAATTTTCGTTTCTCTTTTTTTCTCTATTTCTTTTCGCGCATTCCAAACTCAACTAAATTCCCAAGTCAGCTGTGCCATATATATCGAATATGAAGATATGTTTAATATCTATAAAATAGTATAAATAATTGATCGTTGTCTATAAAAATGATTGTTCGAACGAGAATAAATCGAATAATGTACAAAATATTTCATATGTTGTTTCCGAGGATAAATTTGAATTTTTCTATAATCAGCAAAAAATATCCAACAAAATTGATGTTTACATATTGTACATGTCATATGATTACATCCAGAAACTTTTTCAATAAATGAATGGCGTACAAGGGACATTTTTTCTAATTTATATTTTTGTATTATGATCAATAGATAATGTATTCATTTGATCATATTCTTGACATATTATTCCAATATTCCATTTCACATGATGATAATCAAATGTTTGTTTTTTTTGACATTTAATACAAGTATAACTATTAGATTTGAATATATGAGCGAATCGTATTTTTATTGTACAATTATATTTTTGAAGTATTTTCCCTATAACTCCATTTCCTGCTGTCTGATTCCCGAAGTTTTTTGTTTGTTTTTCTCACTCATATGTATCGC